AAAACTGTATTCCAGCAGAAACTTGTCAACTGGATTGTAAATTCTAACCAATCCTTCTCGATCGTCAACGATCAAGATCTTCGAGACATCTTCAACTACCTCAATCCATCGGTGGAGATCACAAAAGCTAACATTACTGACGTGACCGTGCGTGCCATCGCAGAACGAGAATTTACTAACAACATGGAAAGAGTGAAGGATGCTTTGCGAAAGAGTCCGGGACAGATCCATATCCAGTACGATGGCTGGAAGTCTGGTAACCGACACGCCTTATACGGCATCACATGTGTTTTTCGGGATTCAAACAATCGGCCCCAGAAGTGTGTCCTCGGACTGCCTGAGCTTACAGAGCGGCACAAAGGCGAGAATATCGCCGGGCAAATCATCGAGATCATTCATGAGTATGAGATCAGCGATAAACTCGGATATTTCACACTGGATAATGCCAGTAACAATAAAACTTCGATGGGGGAGCTTGGATTAGAATTCGGCTTCGACTGGGAGAAGCGATGGGTTCGCTGCGTTGGCCACGTTGTCAACATAGTAGTGAAACAGATGCTGTATGGCAAGAACCCGGATGCTTTCGAGAAAGAGGTCTTCGAAGGACTTCACACGGCAGCGAAGGAGCATGAAGTCTGGAGGAGGCGAGGCTCTGTTGGAAAATGGCATAACTTTGCTGTTGTAGGTGGCTGAGTCCCCGGCTTTATTTGTTATACTCACGAAGACCTAGGAAGTGAGCAGATCGGACACGTGGACCGATATGCTCAAGAAGGTACAGGCTATCGAGAGCCAACTCTCTGATGACGCTCAGCTCAAGAAACACCGTCCAGTTGGAGTTGTGGTCGACAATGCTACCCGGTGGCTTTCTCAATTCTCGATGATTGAGCGCGCTCTCGTCTTAAGGCCATTCTATAATTCTTTTGTCCAGAGAGCGTCAAACGAGTGGGAGAAGGTCAACTTGACGAGAGTGTTACGGTCAGATATCCGACAGTGGTGTTTTCTGCTAATAGGCAGCTGAGGTCGATACTCGGTAACAGTAAGGTAAGTCTTGTTGGTAATTTTGCTGGTCTGTTGGTGTCTGGTGATCAGTCAGGCACGTCTAGGCGTAGATAGCTTTATAGCTTCACAACAGAAGGATAATCTAAGAGTCACTTATGAGAGAGTGAATCACGAAGTTGATTGCTGAAGAGCTATGGAAGGTATCTAGTCTAGTTTGGAGCGATTGTCCTTATATCCTATTGTTGCCCTGTTGGGACCGATCTCCTGAAGTCGGTCCTCGGTGAGGACCGATCCTTGGCATGTCGGTGATGATGATGATATATTTAACGTCCAGAGTAAAAAGGGACGTGCCGGGCGATGCCGACATGGTCTATGCTAATCTATACTATTTTACAGGCTGCCGTCTTCACCTAACGTTCCTGTTCAATGAGTCGGGCAGATTTCAGAAAAGAAATTGGTTGCCTCCATCCATTCGCACAGAAGAGAGGCTCCCTGCGTAGAACCTAGCAGAAAATCTATGCTTGCTTTCGCCATATGTCGGCGAAGATGGGCTGGGGTGGCTTTCCGGCCACGCTTGCAGAAGTAGAAATGCACTGGGGTTTTGCGTCTACCACAACTGCAGTCGAGCAGTGCGTCCTTATGGGCAAACCTCTCGTGGTATGCTGCGAAGTCTCCGTGATGCGATCTTGATGCATACAGCCTTCCCAGCAGGTGTCGAGGAAGGCGAAGCTCGGGGGGCTTGGGATGGGGACTATCCCAAGGTCGGCATACTGCCGAGGGCAGAGTGATGGCCATCTTCTGTCGAAAGTTTGGAAAGCGACCGCTTTAGACTGCCGTTTCAAGTGCGCCAATGTAGGCTTGGCATGTCGGTCCTGGGTCATGGACCGCTTATCCGTTGTCGGTCCTTCTTATCTTCACGTGACCTTCCTTAGTTCTTCCGTTCCGAGAGGGGGATTGACGTGTTCCCGTGCTATCCCGCATATAACCTTGTCTTGTAACCGCTAGGCGCCCGTGGGGCGACCCTGGTTATGTTATGCTTGTTGGGTCGTAACAGAGAGCTGGCCACATCAAAAAGGGCTCCAAGCTGCCCTTCTTCCTGAAGGAAGAGAACCACATGACACCTGATGATTGGCATGTGCTCGGGACTCTTTACGACATTTTGCTTGACTTCCAGCTGGTTGTGAGAGGCCTTGAGGGTGATGGGCAGGGAAAACACCGGAGAAAGGTCGAGGAAAACGAGATCGACCCTCCACTGTCTGGTAAGCCTTAGACTTCTCAAAAGCGGCCCGGTTCTTATTCTAACAGCTAACTTGTACAGGAACAAGCTGGGATATTATCCACGCGTATGAATTTCTCCTCGAAACCCTCGAATCCGCGAAAAGAGCAGTCGCCAATTTTCCGGACGGCCATCACCTCGCTGTCAACATCAACCTGGGTTGGCTCAAATTGAACGAATACTACGAGCATCTAAACGATAGCCCCCTGATCTATGGCGCCGCAGTTCTTCATCCTGCCTACCGGTGGGCACTGTTTGACGATTTGTGGGGAGACGACGACGAAAGACAGTTGTGGATTGCCAAGGCGAAGGAGATGGTCCAGGATCTCTGGGAGAGAGAGTATAGGGACCTGGAGGTCGATGAGCCAGAGATTGAGTTGCCTGCCAATAAGCGGCTGAAGACCTCAAGAAACAAGTTCACAGCGTGGCGCACAAAGAAGCGAGGACTGACGGCTGGGGGGGTTTCTGTTACCGAGTCGCCAATTCAATCCCCAGCTCAATCCCCTAGGTCCTCAGTTGGCGGTCTGGATCTTGATGAATACGAGCAGTGGCAGCGTGATATCGAGGATGCTGATGCTTCTGTCACAGATCCCTACGAATACTGGCACAAAAGGCGGCTTAAATACCCCCGGTTGTCTAGGATGGCCTTGGATCTGCTTACTGTGCCACCGATGTCAGCCGAGTGTGAGAGGCTATTCTCGACCACTGGCCGCATGGTTACCAAGAGCCGCAATAGGCTAGATGCCAGTACAATTGGGCTTTGTCAGACACTACGGAGTTGGTTGCGTGCCGGTTTGATCGGGTCGCTAGATAAGATTCTAATGGACGAGTGACAAAAACATCGACGTCACTAAGGCATGTATGCGACCCACTAATTACCATTGTTAGACAAAGTAGGTTTCCATTCCACAAGTTCCACAATATGGATCCATTTCCACCCATTCCACATCGAAGTTATTAGTCAGCATCCATATCCACGCCATATTCACGAATGTGTCGTGGAGTGTCGTGGATTTGAACCCTGGGCGTGGGTGGATGCGTTCTGTTCGCAACGGACTGCAAGCATTCAGGTCAACGGCCAGGACTCGGAGGTTCGCTCTCTGCCCCAAGCGGGCCTACCTCAGGGTTCGCCGCTGTCCCCTGTTCTGTTTCTGTTCTTCAACGCCGACTTGGTCCAGCACCAAATCAACGAAAATGGAGGTGCACTAGCATTCGTAGACGACTATACGGCATGGGTCACCGGACCGTCACGAGAGGCGAACCGACAGGGGGTCCAGGCCATCATTGACCGAGCCCTCGACTGGGAACGACGAAGCGGAGCGACCTTCGAGACAGACAAGACAGCCATTATACACTTTACACGGAACTGGCGCCAGCCAGAGGACTGGTCCCCTTTCAGTATCAAGGGGGACATCGTCCGGCCCAAAGACCAGGTAAAGATTCTAGGCGTGATCATGGACACCAAGCTCCGCTTCAAGCAACACGTGGCAGAAGCGGCATCGAAGGGCCTCGAAGCCGTGCTGGAACTCAGACGACTCAAGGGCTTGTCACCGTCAACGGCGAGACAGCTCTTCGTGGCGGCGGTGGCACCCACGATGGACTACGCATCGACCGTCTGGAAACACACGTGTAACGCAGCCCAGATGAAGGTCATCAACAGGGTGCAGAGGATCGGGGCTCAAGCAGTTGTGGGAACCTTCAACTCGGTGGCTACAGCGGTTGCCGAAGCAGAAGCAAGCATACAGTCAGCCCAGGAACGATTCGAAAGGAAAGCGATCAAATTCTGGGTGCGTCTCCGGACATTACCGAACAATCATCCGCTGCGACATATCAGAGTCAATACCTTCAAGAGGCACATCTCGCCTTTCCAGAAGATGGCCGCGGCCTACCGTGACTTGCCCCTGGACAGACTGGAGACCATCAATGCGTTTTCGCTGTCACCATGGGAAAACCGAGTGCAGACGGTGGTTGAAGACGATGGAGACAAGGCAAGCGCAGCGACTAAGATAGGTTGGGCCGCAAAGGTCGCGACAGCTAGTTCGGCAAGAAATGGACTCGTGGGCTTTGGGAGAGCATTGCATCTCCCTAGGTCACACACGGGAGGCGGCTTTACGACAACGGAGTCATGCACAGTCGGTCTCAGGACGGAGCAGAACCCGTTCACGGCAGAGCTTCAGGCGATGGCGACGGCGTTAGAGTCCCTCTCGGAGAGGATCCGTCACCTTGTCATATACTTGTTTGCCAGCAGCAAAGCCGCCGTGCTAGCAGTAAGCAGACCCCGACAGCAATCAGGCCAGCAAGAGATCCGTCGTATCTACGAGGCTATCAGTGTCCTACAAAACAGAGGCAACAGAGTGTCACTATTCTGGCTCCCGGCTGGGGTAAAGTCGAAGCTCGTCAAGGAGGCCAAGGCAGCGGCAAAGGAGAGCACCCAACAAGGGAAAACACCTGGGAAGAAGCCAGCCAGGGCTTTCTCAACCACGCTTAGGAACGCGTTACAGAGGGTACAGGAGACGAACCCCGGAATACCAGAGTGGGTCGGAAAGTTCTCAAAGAGGGTCGACTCGGCTCTGCCAGGAAAACACACACGGCAACTGTACGATTCATTTTCATGGAAGCAGGCCAGCATACTGGCCCAGCTGCGGACGGGGATGGCAAGGCTCAACTGGTACCTGCACCAGATCGGGGCGGCCGCCTCGGATCAATGTGCATGCGGAAAAGCAACAGAGACGGTCGAGCATTTTCTCTTCCGTTGCACCCAATGGACAGCACAACGTGCACCGATGATCCAACGGACTGATACGCACAGAGGCAATCTGTCATTTTACTTAGGCGGAAAGGCCGCATCAGACCCTGACGACTGGTCACCATACATGGATGTCGTAAGAGAAACAGTGAAGTTTGCCATGGCAACAGGACGACTCGATATGCAGGTCAACCAAACATAGGACAGGAACAGCACAACATCACATCACTAACACTAACCACCGACTAACCCCATACGCACCCTCGTGCCACCGACAGCAGGGCTCGCTTCAGCCGCCGAAGATAGGGACCTGAACACTTGGAGGAAGTGCTCCAAGATGGCCTGCTACTTACATCACGAGAAATCGCAATCATCGGAAGGAGTAATCAAAGATGACGCAGACGGAAGTGGATTTCATACACGGGGCTTTTTTTTGAGACCAGGGTAAAAACTCAACAAGGGGAGCATGTAAGATAGACGTTAGAGCCCTTTATGGCTTAGCCAGGGCGTAATAAACTCTGTGTGTGTGTGTGTCGAGAAGCTCGTTTGCTCTCGACATGGTTTCCCTGGACAACTGGGCTGTTGGACTGGCCCCAGATGGCTGCGGTGCAAGTCGGGCTCCATTTATGCAAACGGCTTTCTGCCGCGGAAGCCGGATTAGCACCCGCCGCCAACTCCGTACCATAGTACATCACATCAAGCACAGTACGGATAAGCGTGGTTTTTGTCCAAGCAGGAAATGTGGGTTGCTCCTGGCGGTCGAGGCCGAGACTGAGTGGTTGCACCGCCTGCGTCTACGACCGGGCTCCATACAGTAAGGATATTCCATACGGAGTAGCAATTTGTCAGGACACAGCCCGTTCTTGCGGCGAAGGCGGCGCAGCCACGGCCGCTCAGCCCGTACATACGATGTGCTGTTGTTGGTGCCAGTGATGGCGCCCAGCTGTTAGTGCAGGTATCCTTATGTTGCCGTCCATCAGTCGGGGAAGATGTGGTGGCTAACGCTGTGTAATGATTAGGTTACCTCACCCGACTGGGGTCTCCTGAACGGCTGGACGGTGTGGGTGGTCGGTCCACTTGGCCGTGGCGGCACGGGGAAAGGGCCATTGCGGCGCGTATCGCCGGAATAAGCCCCGTGTCTGTTGCTCAATCCAGATCAATCTCGCCCCCTGCCTTTGCGAACCGCCTCAAAAGAGGGCGTTACCTACCTGCATCCTGACTCCGAGTCGACTGCCTCGACCGAGCCCCCACCATCTCGCGGCATCGAAACAGAAACAATCGCAACTGTGCCTTATCCTTTCGGTCTACCAAGCTACGAGACCATCAATGTACGATAATAGTACTCTCGCTCGACGCCTAACTGTTCGAGGCTAACTTGCAGCGAGGCCTAGCATGCATCTCGCACAAGATATCTACGGGCTTCTGCCTAATCTCGCAGATTGGATGAGGAAAATGTCATCTAAGGGGCATACGGTTGTCCTTCTGGGCGAAGCCTTACTCCGGCTGGCACAGGGAGAGCCTTCCGATACCACGAAGAACAGACTTTGGCTGGCGGTTGTGGCCGATGTGGGCTACGCGGCAGGGCAAAGCGACAGTTACGATCGCCGCATGATCGTGAAAGAGGACGTCAGGCGATTTGATGACAAAGAGGCTTTACAGCAGGCCCTTATGAGTGGGGAGCTCATTGACCATGTCTCTGGACGCTTGGTTCCTCTCTCCGACGCCGGGGAGACCGAAATCTGGCCGCAGTGGTTCGAGACCTCAGGCGGGCCCAACATTGATGTGGTCTGGATCAGAGGTGTGTCGTGTCCGTCTGAAGGAAGGGGCCCTGATGTTTACCTGTGCCCTGTCGCGTCGAGCAACAACTGTCCACGGGAGGTGAATGGCATTCCCGTCTGTTGCAATCGGCTTGCTCCGGGCTGGACAAAGAAGAACCCGAAGGACGCGTACCCCTCGATTCCCTACGCGTTTGTGAGGCAAGGCGAAGAAGGCCGCTCGCAGAAAGCCGAAATCTTCTGGTCCGAGCCAATGGAACAAGATAATCACGAACCTTTGTTGATCCTCAATGTCGCCTGCGGAAGGGGCCATGGTATGGATGTGGTCGTTAGAAGGCCGGCAGTGGGAGCATTGTCGAAGGCTGGATCCGAACGGAGTAGTGAGGTCAACGAGGGCCCCCTCAGGAGTCGGTTGTGACTATTATTCGAATCTATCTTCTCCCCGATGCTCCCCAGCTGTCTCTCTCTTATATCCCTAGTCGGCGCAACAACGTTCCTTTCGAAGAATACCGCTTTGTTGCCCCGCCAGCGGCCCTCCGCTACCGCATCAGTAGTCCCCTGGCGGCCCGGCCGCCGCCGCCGCCGCCGCCACCGAGTCCGTGCTTCCATAACCCCTGGGCTCCGAGACCTCCGCCTTGCGCCCGGGACAAGCATATCATTCCTTGAAAGAACAAACGGACGCTTCGGTGGATGGGAAGATTTCTTTAAGTATTACAGTATAGAGCATAAATCTCTTCCTCTTTTGCACAAGCTTTCAATGTTTAGGAGAGCCAGAACCTGCTGTTACGTCTGTTTCAAACGTCTTTCATTGGCTGTGGTTGCCTGTTTGCAAATAAGATGTGGAGTCAATGTAGCTCACCCCTGGAGTATGAGAATCGATGTGTCTTTCCAAGAGGAAGAAATTTATGCTCATAACTGTACAACAAGGACTCTGGTTGTTCTGCCACATACTGTACCCTGGCTGCAAGATCCAATGCCTGCCCATCCTGCGACTTCCACAGCGGACCGGAATTCGACCTTTGGCACTGGTGCAACTACGCGCTGCTGAAAGCCTTTTATGGCTTTTGGAAGTGGGCATCCCAGCAAGCAACAACAAATTTGCCCGCACCAGCACATCGCCTGGCCGTCGGACTCACAACTAGCTCTTTCTAGGAGCCAGTTTCGGCTTTTGGGGGAGCCTTTCCAGCCAAGCAATAAGGCCCTTGCTTGGCTGTGTCCACTGTCCGCGAGGTCGGCATCCAATTCCGATTGTCTTCATACCATTGGGGCTAGTTAATACTCCAAAGAGCCGATTCTGACTAGATGGTGAATATTCCCAGCCACATAATGAGGTTCTACTCCTCCGTCTACCTGTCCGCGGGATCCAGTTCCGGCCCAATCTACGACTCTTCTCTGGCGGTGCCACTCTCCCGGGTCAGCCATGTAGTAACTTGGAGTTCGGTTTTCGAACCGAACAATGGGCATTGTGACCCGCTGACTCAAAATCAGGCACTGTCGTCCCGCACAGCTGCAGCCAGATGCCAGGAGCTGGTTCTGGCTCTTGATGTCGGCCATTCTCAGGCTTGGAGTACAGATCTTGCTTGTCCTGGCATTGACCCTTTCCGTAGAATCTGCATCTGGCTCCATCTAATTAGTTTCTATTTTGTCTTGCACTTCCACACACGGCAGCTGTGCATAGTTAATGGTTCCCATACTGGCTTCCACAATTGCTCCCAAAATGGCCCACCCGCGACGAGTACATAAGCCGCGTCTGCTGCTCTTCAAGTATGCGTCCTGTCTACACCCTTTTTCATCCGTCTGTTTCCAATGAGCGCTCACGGCGTAGCACTCAACCTTTCGCGCCGACTTCTGCCCTCCACAACAAATCTGACGCCTCTTCCATCCTTATGCCACCCCTCCATCGTCATGCGGATGCCTGCGACTTCGACAATTCCTTTTCGCTGAGCGATGACGATATCAGCGAGGATACTTTCCACGCCAACGAGGACGTCTTTGACGTCAACGAAGATGACGACGGCTCGAACACCGACGCGACGGACGTCGAAGACCTCGACGAGGATGCTGAACTTGACGTCGCAGACCAGATCAAGCTGTTTGGCGGGAATCTCCGCCCGCACGAGTATTTGCGGAGGGCGGTGGAGGAAATGAACGAAAGCGATTTCGAATGTCAAGGTTATAGCCTGTCGATAATGGCATTACTAGACAACGTTGAGGAGCAGTGGCGCTTGTAAGGACGACGTGGTTTTACCTTGAAACTGCTGCTAGCTAATGCCCCGAACCACAGATATTGCGAGGTCCTCGACCGTGACCCTCGAAACTGCTACGAGACACTCTCGATCAAAGTCCTATAACTTTTTCGATTGGTACCTCAGTCAGAGAGTTGGCAAAGACGGGAGGAAGAGGAGCGGTATTATTAAAGAAAAGCTCTTTGGGAACATGCTGCAAGATCTTTAGACTTTTGTTTGAGAGGGCTACGTGTGAGAAGATACCCTCTAAGCTGGGTCGCAGTATGCGCAGGGTACATAGGCGTTTTGGGTCGACACAATCGCTTTTGCTGACGGGATCAGGTTATCGGAAGGCTGGTCAAGGAGCATGGCCTAAGCGATCAGGCGCGAGCTAAGCGTATTATGACAATTGACCAACTGAAGCAGCACATCGAAGAAACGCTAAGTACAATACGAAAGACGTTCGGGTGTGGAGAAGTACGCCTCCTTGCCATGCTCTTTTCCCCGTTGGTTGCTCCGGCTGGCTCTTGCCGAACAGTTACGCTGAGGCTTCGTTTCAGGGACATAAGCATCGTCCCAGTGAGGGATCCAGACGGCGGACCGCATAAGCTTCGTATTCGGTTCACATCAAAGTTCACAAAGGAACATCTCGGTTCTAAAGCTCAGTATGAACCTGGGTTTAGTGTCCTGAGAATGGCCTAAAGAGCTAACGAATCTACAGGAATACCTAACCGATCCCCCAAACTATGTTTGATCCCTCCTTACTGCTCAGCCCGCAGGTATTTCTTCTGGGCATCCTCTTTCGCCACAGGGCATTTCGTGTACCCAGCCTCACCTCACCGGATCATCTGAAAAAGCTTGACATCTGCTCAGGCGAGCTGGAGTTGCATTTGCCGCTATGGGAGGACTTGAACGACACCTACATTTTTCGTCGCGCCATCTTATTCAACACAGTTTACGTACTATCCACCAACGAACCCATTTACGATTCCATGATGGGGGCCTGGTTTAGAAGAATCGGTGAGATTCTTGGGTCGGAATACTCTTCCATACTTTACAGCTTGCGCTACAACGCAACGAACGGATTTGATCAAAGCTCGATTATGTGTCTCGGCGACGGAGAAACGAATAGTGGCAGCATAGAGGAAGACGAGGCGGAAGAGGCCGCCAGCCACCTCCAACCCGACCGTCCCGTGCTACCACTCCCGAACAGGAGCCTAAGGGTAGCCCAGAAGCCGGATAAGAGTCTATCACCAGTGTGTATCCGGGGCCCATACCTCAGGTTAATCTCGCTCATGCCCCGGGGAACGAATTCCTCATGGCTGGGCCTGAGAAGGTTATGCAGCTCAGCGGTGGGTCGGGGCTGTGGGACGCCTTGCCCGACCGGTGGAAGACCAAAGCGGCCAAGGGCTGGATCAGCCTGCTCCGGCCGTTACGCGAGAACATCATGGTGCTAACATCTCAACAATCACATTAGCAGAGTTGGTAAAATGACCACGCCAAGCAATCATCGGGGCCGCGGAGGAAAGAATAGGTAGCGAGTTCAGCCGTGTCCGAACTGTAGTGGGTCCTGAAGCCAGTTGAAATCTGTATTTTTGCTCACTGAGGCCTAGGCCTAGCACTTCTTAGCCAGCGAACTAATTAGGGTATCTAGATCAAGGAGCGGTCGGTCTAACCCTTGTTCTAGCCTTACCAACACGGGTTGCCAGCGTGCGTCAAGACGCGGAGATGCGCACTGAAGCAATTTAGAGCTGTATCAACACATTCCAACCCGACTTGCGATGGTCAGTCTCCAGTGATGCTCCTGGCAGTCTATGGAAAAGTCTATCGAGAGAATTCCAAGCGGCCAATCAACTTTGTCCGGATAACCAGCGAGAAAGCCCAAGCCCTTCAGGGATTACTGATTGCATCGTATGCGTCACCGCTCTGAATCGAAGGGACTGCATTTCGAGCAAACATCGGCGACAGGCTAGAGTGCATCTCTTGATTGGGTCCACTTTAAGCCTGCCGCCATTGCGCCGGTGGTGGTGGTGGTGATGGTGGTTTGCGGAACTGGAGTGGGGTATGGTACCTATATGCCTGAAGGCATCCTTTGCCCTATAATCGACGTAAGTCCAGCAAGACCCCGAGATACCAGAACTCCAAGGTCGCCGGCACCGAGTACATACGGAAAAAATGGTTTCTGTCATGAAAAGATGTATAGGGACACCTGATATGTATCAGAAAACAAAGCAGCAACCTTAGGAATCGAGACAGGTGACACGTGAGAGGGCTGGTGATGAGGGGGTGTGGTAGGGAGGGGAAGAAAAGGGGAGAGAAATATGGGGAGATGGAAAGTTCCGTCGGACATGCTGCGGCCAAAAGCGCCATCTGCCGAATATGTTTAAGACCAATAACTTTCGGCTTACGCATGAACATCATTGCTCAGCAAAATCTCGCCAGACCCCAAATTCGGCACCCAAACATAACAGCCCGTTACAGCACAGCATACCTAATCATTACGAACTTCTACCGACATGACAGTCTGTACACTATTCCGGCATGGCAGCTGCCATCAAGCAGAGCGATGCGTTTTCGCCCATTTCAACGGCGACGAACCGCCGCTGAACCTACTTGATGGTCCCAACTTCAGCACTTCAGTAACTGTATGTGCGATGATCTGCATGAGACTTAATAGAAGGAGTGAGCTATACTCATCAACATCTAGGCAAAGTGTCAGGGGGCTTCAGTTGGGGGAATCCCAAAGTCGCCGACCAAATCGTCTTCGGTGGCGCGGATTGTCAACTTACCGCACGGCAGCGCTCAATCTGTTTCCTGTATCCTATCCCGCCTCGGAATAGACCTTAAAGCGACATCGATCCGGGTTCAGTACCAGGCCAAAAGCAATGATGAACGAGGAACTAGTACCTATGCCGAGATTTCCACTTCAGAGGGAGCGGCATTCACCCAGAAACTGGTCACAGCGTTTCGGGAAGGAGACCTGGAAAGGCTACATCCTTATCAGAATGTTGAGATCATCGTTCTTCAGTAAGCACGGTCTAGTACTAGCGAGCTAGTAGCATCTAGCTAGCTAGGTATAGTCCCTAGGATAAAGACCTTCTCTGACCATTCTGGGGCAGTCTGGTCAGTCGTCCAGCCATGATCTAATACTATAGAGTAATAGCCTTAAGAGCCTGGTTAACCCTATCCTCGGTATACTGGCCCATAAGAACGAAAAGAAAGTAACCTCAAAAGTTAGGGCTATTTGGAAGATATCAAGATCTTCGTGGCGTTCCCGAGAGTCAAAAACATCAATGCAGTTATGCACCAGGCACAAGAGCTGTTCGATACAGAAATCTCACTTATCACATGGCCCAACTACCGTGCACTGGTCATACCCTATACCAGATGATTGTAGATAGGAGGTACTCCTTGCTGCGATGTGATACCGTGTCTGATTTGGTACCCACTATCACTGGCTAACCATCGCGAACATTCCCCAATCCTCCGGAGCGTTGACGCGCTCCCCTGCATCCTATCGCGACGCGTCACCACCGTCAAGCCAAAAGTACCAACGACAAGAGGTCGGATTTACCAGCATCCTCTTCGCCGGATAATTCAAGACCTTTTTGTACATGAAAATTTTCTTCTGCGTTCTTTCGGCTGTCACTAGCAAGGACTATGGCCAAGCAGCTCGAAGGGGCTGCTATCGGAAACCTGCCTGCTAACCTGACCATTTCCGATCCACCGAAGGTCGCCTGGGGGAACCGCCACTTCGTTTGAGAAGTTTCACAAGCTCGAAACGGAATAACCTCTTGAGCATTTTGAGGACTGGAAAGGCTTTTATAGTGAAGTTGCAACCGAGACAATGAAGGGGAGGCTTCTAGATGACCTCAAGCCACTTGGAAAACGATCTACTGCGCCCCAGAGAGAGCCCGATGTCCGACCGAGCCGTACCCATCGCCGCCCTGCTCGCGACGACGACGACGTTTCTACATCTCGACAGCGAAGTCAACCGTCCAGGTTTACGGTAGCTGCCTTGCTTGAACCTTCTCAAACTGAATATACGGCGCTTGATAAGCGACCAACAATGAGACCTCCCAGAAGAGGTCATTACCAGCAGACCACCGAGCATACATCCGAGCATCCATCAACAACGGCTGGAAGAAGCTGGATGAGTACTACAGCAAGCTCGGAGAGTCTCCCTAGTTCGCGGCAGCAGTCATCTTTCATCATTACACGCAATGGATCAACAGCAGAACGAAAAGGAGATTTGTCACTGGTGGCAGCGTCAGCGAGCTGGACAAGTATCCTGCGAGAGACAGTTCAGCCTGGCCAAGCTGACGCTGACATCTCAACGGCTGTCAATGAGCGCTGATACTCTGGAGCGAGTTCATTGCCTGAGGAACTGGGTCCGACACGGCGGGGTAAAGCTGGGGGGTTGGGTGGGTAAATGAGAGATAGAGGCGTGCGAAGTAGGTTCGAATAGTAGGCATGTACGCTGGCCATACAGTTGATTGAGAGGAAGCAATCAAATCAAGTTAATCAACTTTGTGTCCAAGGCTCATCAAACAAATCAATTTCAGCCTCAAATTTGATTTGATTGCTTTATGATGAGCCCTGTTCTAATCTAAAATAAGAAACAGAACAAAGTTTCATGGCCATAATGCCTATATCCCTGATTACAGTTGGAAAATCGAGCATGGGTTGCGTTAGATAGACGATATCGATTCGATGTAATACACCTGGGGTTCATTGATTAAAGAGTGATCGCTGTGCTTGATTCAGGGATCCTTCCCATGGGGCTCTGTCTTGTATCTACCCGTCCTCATTGGTTGTTGCACATTACAATTATACGATTGATCTAGTTTTGACAGCCTTTTATCCGGACACAGGCGTCAATCTAACAGGTTGAATGCACGACATGGATATGCAATGTCCAGGTCTGACACGATGCCGCGCACGTTTCTTCGTAGTGCGGATCTCAGGACCGAGATGGAGGCACAGAAGGCGAGCGCGTAATATACCTCATCCTGATCGGGCCATGACGGCCCCGATACGGTTGGTCGACCCGCTCGGCGCATCGCTTGAAGTGCTGAGCAGATCTATATAAACGATTGGTGGTTATTCACTTGTAAGGCAATCCTGGCCTGAATATGTGTTTTGACCGAGTAATGACTGTATGCGGCTAGTTTCACTTAAGCGAGGGTGTTCCTGGTTCTGTCAGGATGCCTAGCACGCATGTGAGAAAGCCGTTATTAATAGCATGTGAATACTAAGAGTGAAGATTAGCTGTAACTTGTTGATCAGGCCTACAGCCCAACAGTTTTAATTCTTTCATACACATAAAGTCATCTAATGAGCGTGCAGGTGCTGTCATGGCCTAAGTGCTGAGATGTAGCTTCGCAACGCACCCGATTAGATGAAAGTTTACCAAACTCCTCTTTCGTGGGTTGGCAAGATCAGCTGAGCTTATTTTTACCCGTGGCATCTCGGAGGGCCTCCTGCATTAGTATGTCTGCATACCAAGCTATGGTCAGTAACCCTGCTCCATTCTCCCTCCATCGTGGCGCATTTGATTACTTAAACCAGACCCTCTCCTTCTCTTTGGCGATCCGAGCGGTGATGAAGAAGTCGCCTGCCATTATGGAAATTGGGCATATCATTTTTCAGCCAAAACGCGCTCTGAAAGGGTTGTTACGATACCCTTGGTAGGAACTAAGTTTGATGCATCGAATCACATCCCTTTGGGGGAAAAGCCTTCACCGCCGTATTGTTGTTGGAGATATCAACGCTATTCGTTGCTCGATATGTGAGAGGGGAAGAAAACAGACGAGGAAGAGGTGAACAGGCAGATTTATAAATGTCTACCCACTCAAGATGATCATGAAATAATTTCGAATTGTTGTTTTGCCACCTCAATTCTCTCACCAGTTAACAATATTTGTTCAAAAATGGCTCTTACACCCCGAATGGACCCCTATGTGCGGCTTCTCTTCCGCTTGTATGAAGCCCTTGTTTTGCTTTCGATTCTCCGGCCGGTGAACGGGCCACATCTCGTCACCCAGCTCAGCAGTTACACCATTCAGGATGCCAGGAGGCGATTCCTCAGGAACTTATGCTTTCTTTACGACTACAGAAAAGGGGGCTGTAGCACCACCGCCATAGCCGCTGAGGAACTTCAAGACTGCTATGTCTTCTGGATATCCTCAAATGAGGGGCCTAGTGATAGGGTCACGCGTCACCTCTGTGATGTACTTGCTCATGTACAGCGTTTTTCCAGTCACATCGAGGATCGTGCTAAATCAGAGGAGGCTTTAATGACCATATGCACGGCGTTTGCTTCGTCGCGGATCAAGAATATCAACAGAATTCTACGTAATGCGGCTATAAAATGCCGAGTATCGTTGGAGGGCGCTCAAGAGGGGCAAAGTAAGTGCAATCTCTTGACCCTTTGGTAAGCTAACTAACACGATTAGACCACGGTGTCATGAACTGGCTTCGAAGGTTCGAGGATCTGGACTTCTCCGAGTTGTTCATATGTAGGGTGGCATATGATGCGCGTAATGACGAAGAATTGCGTCAGATCGAGCAACTCGGCCAGGAATCCGAAAACGGCGCCAGTGTGACGCAGACTACGCTCGGATTCCGCGCAGTTAAGCATATGATAGGCCGGTTGGCAGCTTACGTCCGCGCTGTCTCCCAGATCCTTGACGATGGAAGCCGTTTGCGAAGACTTCTCACGGACCATCGAATCGTATGCAGTGTTCAGCGCCCTGCCAGCGCGGCGATTCCCGAGGCTGATGCACATACGACCTTGGGCGGTGTACTCAAGCGGTTGCTCCCCGATCGAGACAGTAGATACGAGCCGTATCTTCGTATCCTCACGAACCTGGACAGTCAAGTTCATATTTCATCTAGTCTACACGAGGAGTTCGAGCCAGGCACGATAGAGCCTAGCGTTCATGCCGAGGTTCAGCTACTGCATCACTTTTACAGCGCAGGACGCCGTTACGCTGCTAAAGACAGATACATTACGTGTAGTAAACCTGCGTTTATCTGCTGTGAGCTGTACTTCCGTCATCACCCCGCCAGAGTCAGCCTGCTCGACTCCCACCGAAAAGCCTACCTGAACTGGGGAGTCTTGAGTCTTGTAGGCGGGGCGCAAAATCCCAAATGGTTCGACCACCGTAAGATTCTCAATGATGTGGTGGGAGATTTAAAGTCCATGGTCATTGACCAGATTTTGGAGCTGCGGATTTTGAGCCACGACCATCAAGACACGTTGACCCAGATAACGGCTTCCCAGGGTGGAGTAGATAGCGGTTCGGATTCAGAAGCAGACAAATTTGCAAACATTGGCGAGGCCGAATTACCTGACAATTGTGAGTGAATATCTTACATTATGGAGTTGAAGCCATTATTAAAACTATTGCTGACTGTACTCTACTTAGATGTTAATCCAGATAACACTATTGACCTACAAGGCCTTTCATTGGGTGTTGTAGTCGGCTCGGAGGGTGAGAACGAGGCTGTAAACGGGGCGTCGTTACTATAAGTCTTTGGATGATTTGCTTTACAAGAAAAAAAAAGTCTTTGATTGTTTGCCCATCATTTACATTGACTGTTTTAGATGTATGGTTTCCAATTTTGTCGACTAGTACAGTAACCACAGAAAAGACGAGAAGATACTACTTAAATTAAAAAAATTAAAGGAAAAGAACGCCGATCCCGTTTTTCTTTTCTCTTTATCAAAATCAGATCCGTGCCATCTTTTTCCGAATGTGACGGTCAAGGTTGTACATTCTCGTAAAGTCTGCACCGCATTTGCACTCGAAACGAGGCTGTTGAAAATGCGTTTTAAAGTGCTTCCCCATGTCCCTTTGACATGCCGATGTAGTGGGACACACGGGACACAGAATAGGCTTGTAATGTGTTTTGAAATGTTTCCTGTTAAAACGTTCAGTGCGCGCTGTCCAATGATATACCATGTGTAATGCGACATACCTCCAGCGGCTCGAAGTCGAGAATTGCCTTGCGCAACCAGGCCACGTACACCTTGACATTCCTTTTCGAAGTCTTCCGCTGATACCCAACGGCAATTCCTTCTCTTCGAATCTGACTCGAATATCCGCTTGTGGTGGAAAAGGAAGGAATGCAAGCGGTCCCCTTGGGCTCCTCGTTCCAACGAAAAAGTGTTCCTCCTTGCGAGCACCGTTACACTCTTCCGGTTCATTTGCACCTGGTCCCACGTCAGGGCTCTGGTTTGATGCCAAGTAGTCACTCTAAAGAGGATCTGAAGCATCAGATGGCTGACGGAGGCGCTCAAGCGGCAGATTGGGGTGGCAATGCGGCAGGAAGAGATGATGCGCGACTTGAGCTCGAAGCTGACCAGACCACGAAGCAGACGGGTGAAGAACTGGAGCTTGTCCACGAGCAACTCGAAACTATTGCGGCAAACGCCACACACTCGCCGCCCCTGCCATACATCGATGCTGCGCGATTAAGCCCGTTTTCCCATCCGACCAACATCCGAACGCTCTCGTCATTCAACACGGTGCATACAAGACCAGGACAATGAAGTGTCACGGCGTGTGCAAGGGATGTCTAGTTCATAAGACAAAAGCGCGAGGCATGTCAAACGATGCGCTTCGATTGGGATTGGCTTTCTGCTTCGACCGCAGGGCAACGACTATAAGTCCGACCCGAAACCGTTCGTTATCACCGGACGAGTGTTTGCGTCAAGGTACCGCTTGTTACTAGCAAAATATCGTATCCAACAGTCGAATCAGTATAAGGAGTGTGCAGATATACTCTGATACCCTGTGAGGTAAGCAATATAGTGATACTATGTAGTAACGTTAGTAAACTTCCTTGGGACTGAGGTTACATGTAAGTCATGAAGCTGAAGTGACTGAACCACACGACTGCCCACCCCAAGCCTATCGGGCAGGTCTTGTAACTTTGGCTTTCATCCTCAATATAAGGCGTCTGGCTTCAGAAAGTTTGAGTTGTTCAACATCAACAGCACAAAAGCCAGCTAGGAGGTTAACAGTCTTGATCCATACCCCAAAGCTCTTTTCTCTCATTCTCTCCTTGATTTTCAAAGCTTCGGTCCCGGGGTCGGCTTTCTCATAGCCCTTTCTTCATTACCAAAGGTAGGCAAACCCAAAAGGAAAGTCTCCAGGGTTTTGCCATCAACGATGGGAGCAGTGATATAGTCTCCGGCGTTGACCTTATCCACCAATCCTGGCAACAAAGGCAGCATGTTTTTGAAAGCCCTCTCTTCCGTCTCCCAGATCCGTGTTCGGGTGTCATTGCAGTGCTCGATATACCAACTGGGGTCTTCCTGAATGCAGCATATCTCGAAGAGATCAAGCACTTCCGGAGCGACAGTATCGGAGTGCAGCGCTGCTTCGTAAGCCATGCGTTGCCCAATGGCCTCCACCATCGCCCTGCAGTGTGGGAGGACGGTAGCGTTGAAATTGTCGCTCCGATGGCCGCCCGCCATCGTGGCCACCCTCTCCGACACCTCCTCGAACAAAGCCGATTTCATACTTGGCCAGCAAGATCCTTGGTGTGTGGCTAGGACCACGGGCCAAAACTGGCTTCTGGTAAGAGCCAGATACGGATGCTCAAGACAGGGGATCTAGGTAAGCAAGCGAGATGCTGGCCGGGATGGCCTTGCCCCCGAGAGTCGGAGCCAGCTCCTAGAAGTAGTCTGGTATCGTTTTTGCGGACGGGCGATGTGCTGGTGCAAGCAAGCTTGCTGTTGCTGGTTGAGGGTGCCTACTCCTAAAAGCCAGAAGAGGCTCTTAGTAGCATGTAGTTGCCCCCGCGTCAAAGTTGATTTCAGGGCTTCCAGCCTTGGAAACCGCAGAATGAATCAGTAATGGATCCTGCAGACGAGGACGTAGTAGAGCAGTTGGAGTCGTTATCAGATGTTCTAAAACGCCTTCCATGAAAGGTCAGAACCTGCTCCTGCAGAAGCTGGACATGTATTGTGTAGATAGAACACGTGGTAGAGCAAGAAAGCTCCTTGTTACATGGCTGGGAAGACTCTCAACCAAAGGACAGAACCGGCTTCCGCGTCACAGCCGCAGGAGCACTAAACTGGCTTTCCAGGCCATGGCTTTCCAATACATCAACAGGAGCCGGAAACGGTTTTTGCGGGAGCCATTCATACACGGCACAGCAAGGTGCTTGCTGTATGGCTTGGATGACCCATCTTGGGATCTTGGGAGCCCAAACAGGCTTCTAGCATGTTCAGGACTTTCCAATACAGCAATAGAAAGCCAGATACGGATCTTGCAGTCACCGTAAGCAGTAGAGGAAGAAAGCTCCTTGTTGCGTGGCTGGGAAGACCAGCCGGAACCAGCTCCTGGCAAGAGTCAGATGCGGAGCGTGTGGACAGGGGAGGTAGTGGGACAAGGAGGACCCTGGTTGCCTGGCTGTGGACAACCTCCAACCAAATCCAGAACCGGCACCTGTCTCAACGTTGCGGCGACGGTGGAATTGGATCTCTGGGTCTCGGCATCCATTTCCACAAAACAGAGCAAGATCCTAGTCGCGTGGCTGGGGAGATCGACTCCCAAAGCAGGAATCCAAAAGTAAGAAATGGCTTTCCAAAAGGGCCAGATTTGGATCTTGCAAACAGAGGACATGACTCAGCAAGCAAGATCTTTGTCCGGTGGTTGGGGATAATCTCGCTCCAAACTCAGCCGGTTGAAGGGAGCTGGAAATGGATTTTGCGGCATTCTAAGTAGCGCCTAATATAAGCCGAATCCATCTCTTTTCGACATAGGAGATAGAGTGATCGGTAATGTCCTTGGTGTGTACTGTACAGTAGCTTACATTATATACAATTAGTGCGCAGGCTGTGACATAGTTCTCCGAATACTATGTTCATCATCCCAATGTCCTCGGAGTATGCCTTGCTGACTGGACCTCGATCGCTTGATTTCTGTGCCGACTTGCTGGAGTCTTTCGCCTCTGGCTTCCATCTTCGCTTGTTCGGCACCAGCTGAGCCAACGGACCTCGGGGTGGCTCCAGCAGCAGCGCTCTTTCAAAGTCGATCATCATAACCCCGTTGATCTCCGCATTGAACAGCATGTTTGCCGTCCGTACATCCTTGTGGACTACGCCCTGTTGATGTATTGCGCGCAACGACCACATCGCCTTCCCTTCGAGCTGTTTACCCCCGCCACCCACAATCCCTGTTGATTCAAGATCATATCCTCCCCACGACAGAAATTTCATGTGAACCACATACACTCGGTGGTCATAGTAATAAATCCTGTCCATCAATCGGAGGTCGATGGCCCCGAGGAACACGGGCACATGAGTACCTTGGACCGCCTGCAGACGTTTGTAAACCGCCGCCTCGTGCTCAAGGTCTTTGGCAAATACCACACCGCCTTTGCTTCGCCTCAGTCCTCGTTGTACGATCAGCCTGTGATCTCCTCAAACCTCTGGAAGACAAAATGGCCATGAATTAAAGCATGCCATTACTGAAGGGCCTCTTTCCAAGGAGGGAGAAGCTGGTCCCGGATTGGCTTTCGAAGTCAGTCAGCGGCCAGGGGTCCTGCTCAGCACAGGTCCTACGGCAGAATATCGCAAGGGTACCTGACTTGCCCTTGCCGCAAAGACATTGATGTAGTCCTGGGTGGTTCAAGTGGTCGTGGTAGGCTAAGAAGCTTCCACGCCCTGGGCGAGTAGGAAGAAGCCAGTTTACAAGGAACGAGCTTTTTGTGGCTTTAGTTTCACTATAACTGCCGGCAAGCATTGTCATCCGCATTACCTGATGCTGCTGGGTGGTCTGTGGTAGGGTATATGCATTTACTACGACTAAAATACAATGAGCATCTAATAAAGCAAGCATCCGGCACAGGCCGATATGAGTCATAATTTACTAAAGGGCAAGAAGATGGCGAAACAGGCTCTATATTGGACAGTTTGACAAACATCAAAACATATCGTAGGAAAGAGGAATTCTATGAGTCGGCATTATGTTGAGCGTGAATACCGTAAATTGCCAGAGTCTCGTTAACATTATTTTCTCGCAGGCGATTTGCATAGTAACGTATATCTTAAACATTATCATCGCACGAAGAATTTTTTCTCGCAACTCTTGACGAGCTCTTGTCGGATACTGGTGTTGGCAATCGACGCCGAAGCACGTAGATGGAATTCTACATAATGACGTTCCGCTTACAGTGTACTCTGGTAACTCAGGCCGCGATTTGCACGAGTCAAAGGAAGATGTGAAGACCACAAAGCTCAATATGGAAGCCTTGCGGGGAGCATACCCAGTGTGTCCAACAACCAAGTAAAGCAAAAATTGGGCCCTTTACTTGACTTGGTCGACCGAACCCTTTGCTTGACTTGGTTTA